TACATATATTTATTTTTAACATTAACAACTAACATGCAACGTACGTTAACCACACTAGTAAGTCAATAAATTTGTGTGTATTTTAATGAAAATCAAAACCTCATATTTATAGGGATTATGGAATGTTTATGGATATAGTGATAATAATTTCTAGAGCTGAAGTTGTACAATTGTCATTCACTAATAAACTTATCATTTATAACAAATTTAACAACTTTTCCTCAATTTGTTTAGAAAAGATTATATCTATGATTTTTAACTTTTTAGTATTTGCATTGATGGGTTCCCAAACTTGCATCAAACATGACCCACGCTTGCCTTTCCCCTCAATCGCAAACCATTTTAAATTAAGTTCTTGGTGTAAATTTTTTTATATCTGACAGAAAAGTCGATTACAACGTGATGCCTCATTTTGGTATTCCTATTTAAAGTAGTAAATAAAATTATAAAACTGAATAATAATTAAACTTCTATATAAAGACTAACTTTAGATAACGGTAAAAATTAAAAATAAGGTCAAACTCTAAGCGGAATTAAAATTCTAATCTAATTAACATTAAGAAAATTATCTAAAATAACGAAAACACATTTTCAAAGTGCTAAACAATGGAATTGGGCCGAAACATGCCATACATCATAGGAAACAATACATATATAAGGTGTTTAAAATATACAATTTCAAAATTTGTTTTAGAATTTTGAAAATCGGGTCAGAATTAAATTTCATTAATTAAAAATGTTTTGTTAATTAAATATATTAAGGTCACACTATTATACAATTTATGGTTATAGTTACGTACTAGTCAGAATCACATAACGTCACACTCACAAGTCACAAATTTTATAGGTCTCAACTTATTTATTAATTAAAAAAATATCAAATTCATTGGTTACACGTTATTTTTCGATCACAAATCACAAATTATATACGTCACAACTATCAAATTAATTGCTCACAAGCTATTTCTAGTTACAAATTAATAAATTAATTGGTCACAATTTAAAAAATTGTAAGTCACGATTGTACATTTTCTCGTAATCCCACATATTTTAGGTCATATATTATTTATTTGTCACAAATTAATGATTTTATCGTCCAAATAATTGGTTACAAATACTCTTCATCCCACCCTAACTCCACTCCACCATCGACAACAACCAAACCCACACCACCTCACCGTCATCGCCAGCACCATCACCATCACCACCACGCACACCACTTCAATTCATGACTACCACCAGCGCAAGCACCGCCTCATCGCTACCATAACTACCAACACTAACACTAGCATCACCTCCATCTCTACTTGCAACTCTGACCAACATAACCGCACCATCAGTGCCTGCACCAACAACCACCACTAGCGCTTGCTAAATATCACCATTTCTTCCACTTCTACCACACCACCCCCACCAACAAGATCCCCAAACCCTGCCATCGCTATCTGCACTTTCAATACACTACAAACCAACCCCCAAGTCCGGCCACCACAAAATCAGGAAAAAATAGAGAAACAAGAAAACCTAATTTTTGCAACTCATGGAGAAGGTGATAGTCACTATAAGAAGCAGCAGCGCCTAGAGAAGTTGATTGTCGTTACGCGAAGTAGCGGCGCTGTGTAGCGATGATACCATTGTCGCTACGCGTGGCTATCGACCCATCGACGCATCGTAATGTACTCCGAGTTTGTTGGGTTGTGCCTGTGTGAGAGAGAGCGACGGTGGAGGTTGGATGGATATAGTTGTTAGTTAAGGGATTAATATATAATTATATATGTTTTTTAAATTAAAAATAATAATTATAACCTAATTTTTGAAAAAAAAAAAATAGTTATAACTTGGTTTTTGAAATTGAGTATTTAAATGTAGGTGGGTGTGTAATTTCCACTACATCATGGGTGAATTCTATGAGTTTTGCTTGTTTGGCCGTTTTCATTCAAAATCAATACAAACATATCCGAAAATGGACACTTCGATTTTTTTGTTTTTATTAGGATTCTACTTTTTCATGAACTCTACTTTTTGTATTGCATCAATTATGCCACAATGATATGAGTTGTCGCTCTAAATAACTACATCCATCGAAGATGGGGCAATTGAGTCCCGGTTTGAGAACTGTTATTTTAAATTTTTTTAATTCTTAACTCATTTCAACAACACATTTGCACAATAAAATAATTTAAATGTAAACTCAAAATTTTTTCTTACTTTGTAACTACATATTTTTCAAAAAAAAAAAATTCACTATTTAAACTCCATTTTTTCAAATAATGCCCATCGAACAAGGGCTGAATTAACTTGTCAAAATGTGCATATTAATTCTCTACCTTCTGACCACATACTCCAAAAAAAATCACTATTACAAAATCAATTTTCCATTAAATGGGGCTNTTGTACTCTCTAGTCTCTACAATTTGATGGCTTCCTTTATTCTTGCAGTTATTCTACTTGCACAGAAAATCTTTGTAGATAGAATGTCCATGGATTTGAACTTCAGAAATTCAAATTTGTGTACTACCTGTACGCATTTTCTGTACAAATAGCAGAGTTCTAATTCTTGTTAATATCTATCGTTTACAATATGTAAAATTAGATTGTCTACAAATTTGTAGACCATGCTAGCTGCCCATTTGTACTCTCTAGTCTCTACAATTTTATGACTTTCTTTATTCTTGTTCATATCTATCATTTATACTCTGTAAAATTAGATTGTCTATTTTGATATTTAGAGTAAAATATTACCAAGAGTATATTAATTCATACAATATATGCTATTCTACTATTATTGTTTCCGATAATGTAAAACTCATTATTAAGCCTTTGTTTAGTGGGGATTAAAATCAGATTTTTAGTAAATTTTGATAAAATTTTATAAGATGTGTTGTTGAAAAATTGGGAGCTCCATAAGATATGTGATCAAAATTAATTATTGACTTTAACTAAAATCTAGATTTTAATTCCTACCAAATAGAAACTAAAATTAGATATACTTTGTATTGTATAGTTGAAATTTTATCATTAGTTGGTAAAAACATTGCATGAAGATACAAATTGCTCAAATTACATCTACTTCGATTTTTTATGTGTATTGTTGGAAGAGGTTTGTATCTAACCAATGAGTCAGGTATTGTGGAGTACCCTTTTTTCCCCCTCTTATAGCTGAGTAATAAATACAACTTAAAATACTAATAATTCATATCGCTAGACAATTGTTGAGTTTCGAACCTGTGAACTACCTATTAAATGTGCTTCCAACAATTTTCTGTTGAAGTCGTGTTTCTGAATTGACACTTATATTAATACAAATCATTGGCTGGATGGTTGACACTTGGCTTCTCTCTCGCCGTTGGATATGGTTCTAGATTGTTCTACCTTTATCTTCCAAGAGACGCTTTTGAGGATCTCATTGGGTTCACTCTTCTGACTTTAGCTCTCGCGTCTGTTCTCTCCCTTTACAGAGAATAACCTCATTCTTACCTAGGGTTTACATTCTTGAGTGTTTGAATCGTGTAAACTGTATATTCTCTTAGATCCACTTCCGATTGTTGTGAAGTAAGGATTCTTTGAGTGATTTGGGTGCTGAATCTTTTGTGATTCGAGTAGATTGTGAGGTGTTAGGCAGAACTTTGTGATCTGGCCTATTTTGTGTCTTAAGGGTGTTCGATCCAAAGGCTTGTGTAAAGATAAGTCTCTGTGGCCTTTGTCTTGTACTCTTGAACTAATTGTAACTGTTGGTTGCCATATTTTTGGCTATTTAGTGCAATCGAGCAATATCCATTATTTGGATGTTCAACGGGGGATGTAGGCGTTAGATCCGGTCGCCAAACCTCCGGGGCTTAGGCCAAAACATATCCTGTGTTCAATCTTTAATTTCTGCAACTTTTACTTTCTGTTTTGAGATTGATTCTTTTAGATCTTGTTTTTAATATAGTGTGGTTTGGGCCTTTTCAGTGGTATCAGAGTCTGGAACTGAAAGAACAAGATACATGGATCTTCGAAGAAAGGTTCGATCTATTGTAGATC